TGGAACTCCCACGTCCGCTTGTATTGACAAAGACGTTTTGATTGATAGGTTGCCTTCTACGAGCGGCCCTTTGTTGACTCAACCGGTGCACTTGCTGTGAAAATTTTAAGCAGTGCGGTATTGTTAATGAAAGGGTGAATATACCCCTAGGTGTACGATGTGGACTGATTAAGAGAAAACTGTGTTAAGTACCTACTCGACCGCACTCAGGACGCACAACCACTAGTAATGTGGAGACTGAAAGTTCTTGACTGTTAAAATATTAACGCGATCTTCGGTCCCCAAGGATTGATGTGTTTTTCTGAGTGCAGACTCCGATCGTCTTAGAACTGTCTTAGTCTAAAATACCGAGTATCCCATAGACTTCTACTTATTCGGAAAGTCCTAGAGTTTAGTTTATTTACCACTAACGAACTGAGTTATTTGGACTAATTCATCTCAAGGAAAGGTTTAGACAGAGAACAGACGCTGTTACAAAATGTCGAATGGTATTTTGCAGCTGAGTTCATGCGCTGGCTGGAGCTCGGTGTGGTATGTTGACTCTTATTATTCAGACAATAGGCGTAAATCTAAGTCCAAGTCTACTGCTCCTGAATTCTTTGCTTGGAAATATTTTATGTTCTTGGTTTTGAAGGCAATTTTTCAGCTCAGTCAATATGTTTTGTAGTATATACTCAAGGAAGTACAAAAGTGTGTTTTTGTCGAGATTCGAAAGTACGAACTTTGTAACCAGAAGTTACCTTTAATCGTCTGTTTAGATGGTTTGTCAGAATAAAAAACATTTTTTTCAGTAAAAGTCATCTACTTCAATGTATTTTTTGAACTCATGAGTCCAAAGATGGAAAAATTAACTTCTATTGTCGCTCTTCTTGAATCCGATTGATTTTGAGTTTAAATCTTCATAGCACGCAGAAGTGATCGGGCTTTTGTGTTTTGCATTGATGACATACAAATAATTACAGACGGCAAGGCTGGTGAGTTCAGCTGTGTCTGAGATAGATGGCTGAAAGCAATAGGTGTTCATGTTGCAGAGACCGATGAATATGATACCAGGAAGGCCATTTCTAGCCACAATTCCAAGAACTTTAAATACGCATTCCCACGTACGCCGACGATAAGTCATTATGGTTCACCCAGGACAGAACTTCTGACCGTATCCTATGATGACTTCTATTTTAGTAAGGAGGTTTACCGAACCAATAGTCCCACATTTTTACAGATTGAACCCATAAGGGGCTCAAAATGCGTATGTGGTCCCTTTTGGGTAATTGATTCTCGCAGTTTCTGCTCTATTACTGCATCTTGCCCTAAACTCCCGTTTCTCTTAAGTGAAAACCCCCTGTTTTTGAGATACCCATATTCTATCCGACTTTCACTTTTTTCCTGTTTAGTCACCACGTTGTTATCTGTGATGCAAGGCTAGTCGTTTGATGGTTGGCTGTTCGCTACGGGTGGGCACCGACAGTTTTTTAAATTGCCGGTGTCACCACTACGCCTCAGTAGTTTTTTATTTCCGTCCGAGAACTGGAAGTGTGGTCTTCACTGTCTTAGTTAAGAAGGAAGTGTGTCGTCGCATGAGTGCACGTATTACCGCCGATTTCCGCCACGGCGGTCACTCGAAATAAACCTTTGATAAGTACTCATCACTGCAACCTATGGCGGAGCATACCACGCTCTGGAGAACGCAGTTTCAATTATCAGGGTCTTGTACCAATGAGATTTCGTGAGCCCCCTCAGCCAACCGTATGAATCAGTCCCCACAAAATTTTTCGGTCACGAAAATGCGCAATTTCGGGTTCTTATAACGGAAGTTATTATCGAGCAGACGATTGGGAACAGCCAGAAACTCCGGTCACATAATCGAGGTCTCGTTTAGAGACTACGTGGAGCCTTTCGACATCAAATAATGACGTCAATCAAATGATTCTCGAAACTGGTGCCCAGCCCGATCCTGACCCATCAACTCCAGGGACAATTGATGGAATTGTTCGCGAATTTCCGTTATTTGTTCTTCTTTAGCGAAACTTTTACTGTCCTGTCTGGCTTCCAAAGGGTTATCATCCGGGCGAAACTGACTTAACACAACCAGCGAACAGTATCTCGCACAAACTACTCTCTAAACCAAAGGAGCACGCACTGCACTGCAAAGTTCCGTGGAAGTAGTTCTTGAAATAATCGTTCTTTTGACCATCTGCAGTAAGGAGATTAACCAAAAAATATTAAGCATGTTTGTGACAACAGCTGTCGACTACCAAAATCGATATGAAGCATCCGGTTACTTAGGTGCCTGAAGTACGCTTTCTGTCTGGTTCTCATCTGATTTCCTCCCAAAAAGACAATGTTCCTTTTAGTAGTTTTGTCTCTAATTTTAGTCAATATCCTAACTCATCACACGTTAAGGAGATAGGTCGTGAAGCACGGTGTTCCTTAATCCAAACAGTCCGTCGGTAGCTTACGTTCGCCCGTACCTTTTGGCCGCTTCTACTGTCCAACACAAA